TTTCCCTACTGTGCCATTTTGATTGTTGCTTCATGGTGAATGTGCAGAGTGCCTGTGCTATCAGATGTGCGCTGTTCACCCCCAGACACTCAGCGTCTTCCTGGGATCTGTCGCACTGGCTTCCCTTTGGAAATGAGACCACGCTTTGAAGGACATCTGTGTTTGGGGGTCCTCTGTCTATTTTGACCTTTACGGTGCATCCCGTGGTTTGCGATGCTCTGCAGGGGAGAGGGACATGTGTGGCTGCTGCACACGGAGGCTTCTGGATCAGGTGCCCGGCCGACTCTTCATGCCAGGCCCGTCACCCTGTAAGTGGCTCTGCCTGATGGGTTTGTCCATTTCCGAGGGAGAGGCATCACCATCTCCAACAATTCAATAATGGTTCTGTCTCTTAGTGTAGAGCTATCAGTGTTGGCTCCAATATTTTAATACACGAGGGTGTGTTCCTGGTTAGACTTTTTATGTCTTCTTGGAGAACTGGCTCCTTTATTATATGTCCTCTTGTGCTTGCTGGGTTTTCCTGCTCTCAATTCTATTTTTGTTTTTTTTCTTTGTTTTGCGGTGCTGGGGATTGAATCGCAGGCCTTCTCCCCAGCCCTTTTGATTTTTTAAAATTTTGAAGCAGGGTCTTCCTAAATTGCTAAATTCCTCAGACTGGGCTTGAATTTGCAATCCTCCTGTCTCAGCCTCCCAGGGTGCTGGGATTACAGACATGGGCCACCATGCTTTCTTTCAGAAAGCAGTGAGGGACTTAGTGAGAAGCTGTCTCTAAGTAAATAAATAAAAATAGACGGACTGATGGATGATGGACAGACAGACAGATAGGCTGGGGATGTCTCTCAGTGCAGCGACCCTGGGTCCAGTCTTCAGAGCCAGTTCCTCCCTCCCAGGCCTCGTGACACTGACAGGTGGTGCCTGTGACCCAGATCTCATCGGTCTCATCATGCTCCATTCTGGAGTGTGAGTTTGTCCTTGTTTTCTGGTGGGCTTAGGACGTCTTGGGTTGGGTCTGCCAGCCTTGGCCTGTGTAGCTGGCTGGGAGCGTGAAGACTTCCATTTGGACGTGTGGGGTGAGGGCTGAGTGTCAGCTCCATACCCCCTGGTGCCCCCACCTCCTTCTGGGGCCCCCTGGAGCCAGGTGTGGTGGTGAGGGGACAACGATTTCAGGATAGTGGAACTTGACCTTGTAACCTATAGGCAGCCTTAAGCCCTCATTCCAGCTCCGAGCCACTTTGCCTTTCTTCCGCCTTACACACGCTCCTGACGCATATGTTGGGTGTTCAACATTTTTTATTGACTAATAACTTTCTGATTTTTTTTGTTTGTTTGTTTGGTGGTACTGGGGATTGGATCCAGGGCCTTCATACTGAGCTCCCCCTCCAACCTCTCCTCCCTTTTTAGTAAAAAACTTGAGAAGTGTCTCACTAAGTTGCCCAGGCTGAACTCAAACTTGTGATCCTCCTGTCTCAGCCTCCCAGGTTGCTGGGATTACAGGCGTGCACCACCACACCCACTGACTTTTTGCCTTGTTAAGTAAGAATTAATTATCCGAGTCCTTTGCAAGGGTTCTTTCATCCTGTGGCATCTGTGGGACATGACAGTTGCCAGGCATCTAAACACATTTGAAAAAGAATCAATGACTTTAATTAATTTTTCCAAGAAATGTTACTTATATTTAAGTTCATTTTTAATGAACTATGATTGAACTTAGAGGCTTTCCACTGAGCTATATCCAAAGCCCTTATTTTTTTTTTAAATTTTGAGATAGGGTCTCACTAAGTTGCCTAGACTAGGCTGGAACTTGCCACAGTCCTGTCTCAGCCTCCCAGAGTGCTGGGATTCTAGATGTGCACCACTATGCCTGGCTAAAACAGTTAATTTTAAGGTATATGAATCTTACCTTGATGAAAAATATGAACACAATACCCTAAAAATTCAAATATCTTGGTCCAGGAATTTAGCTCAGTGGTTCTGCCACCTGCTGCGCAAGTGCAAGGACCTGAGTTCAATCCCCAGTACCCCCCCCCAAAAAAATTCAAATATCTTCACAGCATGAAAATTTAGAGTGCAAACCTCCATCCCACACCAGCTCTCCATCTCCTGAAGCCAAGGCATCCACTGCTGCCACTTTTCGGTGTAAAATATTTAGAGATTTTTTTTCTTTTATCACCAAAAATAAATCTACTTTGTTCTTTTTCAAAGTTAAATAGTCAAAGGAATTGCTTTCTAAGTTCTTTAATTGGGTGCACTTTATCCCACTGTTCTAAATGAGCTGTTATTTTCTGGGGTAATGGCTCTACCACAATGATTTGGTATCTTTTGGGGTAAATCAGTTGGTGCTTTATGAGCAGCTAATAATCTAGGACTCAGCTCCATTTATGTGCATGATTTCTTCAGATGAGGAAGGGTGGCAGAATTAGTTAAAATCCTTTCTTCTCAAGAGTTAAAAAAAAAAACTCAGTAATTGATGACCAGTGAGCCAATGACTTTGTTTCATAGCTGGAATTTGACAAATGCGAAATAACTCCACAGGCAAAGCCACTGGCCTGGGAGGAGTCTGGGCCTGTGTTCCCAGCATACAAGGCTGCTGGTGTCCGCCGTGTGAACACAGTGCTTCATCGCTGCTGCACAAGACCCCCATTCATGTTCCAGTCAGACCGATGGCACCCGCAGAGGCTGCCACAGGCAGGCGTCACGTGAGCTGGGTGACAGCGCTGCTCTGTTCTTTGAAATCTATTTTGCAAACTCAGTGATTGCTGAGAAACAGTCCTGCCTGGGAGATGGAAATACGGGGAAGCAGAGGGTTCCATGGCTCCCTGCTGTGTGTGCCTGCAAGCACTGGGTCCCACCTCTTCAGTCCAGTCTGCTAACAGTGGCAGGTAGGGGACACAGAGGCCAAATGTCCACTCAGCGTCACCAGAGGGAGAGCCTGCACTAATGTGAAGAAAGAGGCCTTTGTGGGACTTCAATCCAGTTTAATGTGTTATGCTCAGGATATGCGAGCCATTGTGACTCAAAAGAAACAGTGATTTTCTCTCAGTGTGTAGAAACTCATGGGCAGTGTCTACTGTATCAGAATTCTTTAGCTTCTGAAACTAAATGCGGGGGGGGGGGAAGCCAGAATGAGAAGAAAATCAAGAGTAAAATTCGTTTTAGTCTAAAGTGATTGGTGGGTTTTACCCCCTTTTACTTTCTTCTGGGGAAATTGTGTGTGTTCTGTTATGTTCACAAATGGACTCAGAGAAACGGTTCCATGTTGTGCCTTTCTTCTGGCGTGTAAATCATAGACGTCTTTTTACACTGCCTCAGGTGGGAGCAGCTTCTTCTGTGCACCATGATTTAAAGCCCTGCTTCTCTGCCGGTGGCCCTGGAAGTAGCTCTTCAGTTTGGTGTTGCAGAGCCACCAGCCCTGCCCTGCAGTTGCCTGGGAGCTCACTACCGACTCTCTTCCTTTCTGTCCCTCCCCACCACCTCTGCCTCTGCACCGTGATTCAGTTTCTCCTGGGCCTCCATCTGCATCTCACCCTGCTCCTCCTTCCTACGGTGTCCCAAGGGTTTGAACATCTGCACCCCAGCATCCCGCTCTCTGAGCCCCACTCCTTGTCCTTGAAACTGACCTTTTGTTCCTGAGCTTTAAAAATCCTCCCCCTTGGAGACCGTGGGACCCATTCCCTGCCCTGTGCATCCCGGGCTCTTCTCCCTGTTGTTGGATTTCTTCCTCCTTCGCCATGATCTGAAGCAGTCCCAGCCTTCACCGAATCCAGATCCCCCCTCCCAGAAGCTGCACCTGCAGCCAAATGTGACTGGAGGGGCCTCCTGCCCCCACTCTGTGTCGGTGGCCTGAGTCTGGGGGGCTTGCACTCCCACTGTGTCACCTGGGCTTCCAGAGGGGATGGGCCCCAGGTTGGCTTCTGTGCTGCTGGTCACCACATGTGCCCTTTGCTGCCACAGGGTGCCTGGCATGGGAGGCACCATGGCTCCATGGACCAGTGCTGCCCTTCACCTGTGATGCCCGGCCCAGGGGAGCTCCTGCTGTAGCAGGCACGAGTGGGCCCACACTGTCACCACAGCAACCCGAAAGCCCTCTGCTTACCCCAGGTCCCCATCTGTGTACATGGTACCAATGGCCCCATTCAAGACGAATCCTCCCTCCTGTCCTTCACTAGCATCAGCCGCCCTTGAAATAACCTTCAGAATCCATTGGAGAATACTGCTATTGTAATAATATTAAGCCTTTCAGTCTATGAATGTGGGATGCTTTTCCATTTATATAGGTCTTTAATTTCTTTAATGGTTTTTTGGAAGTTTTCAGTATACAAGTCTTACGTATCCTTTGTTAAATCTGTTTCTAAGGATTTTATTGCAGTTGGTGTTGTTTCAGTGTATGTTTCATATAAAAGCTGATGATTTTTATCCATTCCACCAATTTCTTCCTTTTGCTTGCAATGTTTATGGCATTTAGTATAATCACTGAGAATGTGGAATTTACATCTCTCCTTGTTCCTCCCACAATCCTGTGGTTCTTTTAGAATCCTCCCATCCACTCCTGCCTTTGCCTTTCTTTGGTTCTTATTAAATCACTAGTTTCTATTGTACCTTCTTAAGTCAATTTTGGTTTATTCTGTTACATCTTTTGAAGTTATTTTTTGGTTGCCCTGGGGGTTGGGCCTCTTCCTGTAGGGTCCCCAAGGAGGCAAAGCTGAGTGCTCCTAAGTAGGAAGGGATATGGGAGGCCTGGGGACAGTTTGTGTTCTGAGAATTGACCTCGATGATTTATCTGTGGTTGCCTTGTAGATTTGCTCTCCTCCCTAGTGAACCTCAGTTCCTTCTCCCTTGGAGTGCTGTGGTCTGCAGGTACTTAGTGTGGTAAGATTCCCCACAGTTATGTCCTAGCCTTCCCTCTGAGCCTGAGGTAGGAGGGTAACACCAGGCTCTGTCACCTTGCTGCCTCTCTGTCCTCCCTGTCCTCTGACTGCCTGTTGCCTTCTCTGGCTTCTCAGGTACCTCACACCCCGTTGAGTCTGATGCTCTCAGGGCCCCCGGTTTCTGGTCTGGAGGGGCCCCTGGTACCAGCAACCTTCTCCCAGCCCCTGGCTCCCACGCTGCGTGAACGAAGAGCCTCTGAATGCACAGGAGTAGGCCAAGCAGGACCCCAGGCCTGGCTGCGGGACTCTTCCTCTCCCCTGCAGACTGCTCACAGGTAACGTGGAATTGGGGAAGCAAGGCCAGAGGACCTTCGGTGTCTCCTCCCAGTTGAAGTGATGGGAATCTGGCCTGTGAGGACTTTTCTGTCCCTCCTCAGCCTCAGCATTTAAGGCCGTTTCCTAGCAAGTCTCTCTGAGTTTCTCGAACTGTCCTCAGTACATTTTATTATAGTATTGCAGAATTAGTGGGGGGTTTTTCTTTTTGCAAAAATATATCTATTTGGGAGCCTACAGATGTATCCATTTGCATGTCTACAAATGTATCTGTTTGCCTCCCTGGAGTCTACAAATGTATCCATTTGTGAGTCTTCAGATGTATACATTTGAGTCAACAAATGTACTCTGCATATCTACAAATGTTTGCATTTGTATCTATTTGTATCCATTTTGTATGCATGGATGCGTTTGCAGTACATCTTGCGGAGTTGGTAATATACAGATCTCACTTCGATTCCTTTTATTTCCCCTTCCCCCCTCCTCCATCTGTCTCCTTCCATCCATACAGTCTAACTCCCTTTTCCTATCATCGATCTTTTATTTTGCTCTTAGTTATTTATACGTTGGATTTCTCACATAAGAGAAACCATGCCATGTGGTTAAGCTTGTGTGTCTGATTTATTTCACCTAACATTATGGTCTCCAGGTACAACCATTTTCCTACAAATGACTCAAATGTTTCCTTCTTGATGACTAAGTAGTACTCCACTATGTCTATATACAATATTTGCTTTATGGTAGAATTAGTGCTGTACAGAGATTTCCACAAGTCCTTACTTACTATAAGCATGGCATTGCTAGTCATGTATTGGAGACAGGAGTCAGGCTTAGGAGGTCACAGCCTCATGGAGGCACCAGATTTTGAGGACATACAGACTGAGCCCTGGTGCATAGCAGCTCTAAGTCAGGACATCCATGAGCACAGATGGAGGAGGGCCTGGTGTGGGGTAGACTTTGTTTCAGCTGGAGGTATGCATGGAGGACAGCTGGGGACAGGTGTCAGAGACAGTGAGCAACTAATGGTCTGAAAAAAATGTTATGCTGCATGACAAAGCTCAGAGATTACGGGGATGAGAAAAAGCAAATCAGGCATCATAGCAGGCTCCAGTTGCAGCTTTAAATGGGGTGTTCAGTTGCTCAGGTGGGATTTGGACTTTCGATCTTCCTGCCTCAGCCTCCCAGAATGCTGTGCTGAGATTATAGGTCCATGACACTATGCTAGGCTCACATGGGTTTGATCAAAGGAAGAAAGAAAGCTGTGTTCCCTTTCAGGGGCCATTTCAGCCTCTGGGTTGGAAATAGGCTGCAGGGGCAGAGGACGAGGGTGCAAGAGACACTGTGCTAGAGATGGGACAGAAAAATGACCACTTTCTGTATATATTTTGAAGATAGAGCCCGTATGGTGCCTGGACAGCTGGGCATGGTGGTGCACACCTGTAATCCCAGGACTCTAGTGTTACGGAAATCTCGGGAAGAAATACATGGAGACACAGAATTCGGATAAAATAATACCATTTCTTCTCTTGGGCAGACGGGATCGCCAGAAACCAGTCTGGTCAATGTCCCCGCCCCCTTTGTTTAGTGTTTCCCTTTTTATATCTTTTTTAGCCGTAATCTCATCCCTAGTGGTCTTTGATATGTAAATACAATTCCAGTTCCTATTTACAAGTCACAGACCCAAGATAGGCCATATACGTTGTAAATTCACCCTGGCCTGGAAACTTTGTTAGGCTAATGAGGTTACTGGTTAGAGTCAGATAATCCTCACCTTAAACAAGGAGTTACCAGAAAAGCAAATCTTAAAAGAATACATTACTTATTTTGCTTCTACAACTACCTTAATATTCAATCTGTTAAGTTATCTAGAACTTTTCTGTATCACTAGGAGGAGTCTGAGGCAGGAGGGTTGCAAGTTCAAGCCCAGCCTGTGCAACCTGGTAATTTAGCAAGATCCTGTTTAAAAAAAAACAAACGGGCTGTAGCTCAATGATGAGCCTGAGCTCAATCCCCAATACTGAAAAGAAATAACCAAATAAAAAGCAAAAGCCAGATGCCTGGTCAGAGTGGTTGGGGCGTGGGACATAGGAGAAAGTCTATTGTGACTTCAGTTTGAGCTGCAGCCGGATTAGTCACTGTGGGGAGGCTGTGGCCTGATAAGGTCTGGGTGTGAAGAGAGGTCAGAAGTCGCAGGTGTTCATGCTGGGGTGGAGAAGAGGAGAGGTCCAGATGGCGAAACCCCGGGGGAGGGGGGAGGGGGGAGGGGGGACCGTTCCCGCCCAGGTGGGACGTGGAAGGAGGACCGGGAGGGGAGGCGAGGCGGGCAGAGGGGAAGCGCCAGGGCGAGGTGGGGCAGCTGCTTTGTAAAGCTTTGCTGCCAGAGAAGCTCAGCTCTAGGTGGGCCGGCAGGAGGACTGCCCGGTGTGCGATTTCTGGACTGGGGCCACCGGAGCCCTGCGGGCTGCGAGAGGCGGCTGGGGCCGAGAGAGCCCCCGGCTGCAGAGGCGCAGGGCCTCGCTGTGAGGAGGCCCAGTGGGTGGGATGCGCAGGCAGGGACCCTGTCGTCCTCTGGGTGCCCCTCTCACCCTGGGGGAGCAGCGCTTGGGAGGATTTCTGTTTGTAGCAAAGCGCGTGGCCACAGGTGAAAGCCGCGTGCGGGAGCGCAGCGGGCAGGGAGCTGGGTGCGCCCAGCAGGGCGCCTGAGTGGTGAGTGGGCTGAGCAGAGGGGTCAAAGCCAGCAGGAGGCTCCATGGCTCCTTCCCACTGCACGCACCCCGTTACCCACTGACGCCTATGGTTACCCCGGGGATCCGGGCTGCGCCCCCACGTCTTCATTGACGCTGAATCACGCAGTCCGGGACAAGGCCATGTGAGCTGGCATTTGCAGTCACCTCCAGCTCCCTCTTCCGTTCCTTGGACAGTAAGCGCACGGTGACCTGTGATTTTCTTCTGACCTTCACGCTGTGCGGTGATCGCATCTCTGTCGTCAGGGCACCCCGTGCAGAGACCGCTGCTCCTCCAGCTAGGAGAGCAGAGGGCAGAGCGTGGGAAGCGCAGTCCGGCCGCGTGGAGTCCAAACCCCTTTCTGCGTCTGCCCACCGGGTCTCCCCACCTGACCCAGGACCTTCTGTTTGGGAATCTGGCCCAGGGGGAGACCAAGAGCTGAGAAATGGCTTCATAACCACAAAAGATTCGTGTGGAAGCGGCCCAACCAGAAGCAAATGACATTCCAGAACAAACAAAGGTATTTTTAAATGTTTAGGATTGAAATGAAACAGCTTTTTTTTTTTGGCTGTAAACACCCTCAATTCATGTTTCTGCGATTTAAATAGCCGAATCAGAAAGAGATTTTTGATATTTTTCCTCCCTAAGTGCAGAATATCATTGGCTCGGCCGTTAGCGTGCGGCGGCCGCGGGAACAGCTGGGATTCAGAGGAGGCACTGCGTGTCCTGGCTGTAGCAGAGCCCCTGGCTGCAGGTCCCATAGGGCAAAGCCTGGAGCGTGGGCATCAGTGGGCTCGGCACTCCGAGGGTTCAGAACCATGGGGAGGCTGAATGCACTGCTCTGAGGTGCAGTGGCCACTAGTGTTAGGGTCCCGTTGAGCGACCTGGTTTTCCACATTGAGCTCCGTTCCAGTGTTTTGTTGTGGTGATCTCGGGCATCTGGGCAAGCTCTGGGCCACTGCGCGGACCCACTGCGTTGTGCTATTCCAGGACACTCACACACCTTAGGGGTGCACGGTTACCCTGTGGGCCGAGTAGCAACACCTCGCCAAGGGGCCAGGTCACCTTCAGGCCAGGCTGTGCAAGGAGGTGCGGGCAGCCTTCTGCTTTTGGAAATTCGTTTGCCTTTGAGTGGTGTTAGCAGGCCTGAGCCAGGGATGCTGGCTCTCCAAAGAGAGTCAAGGATGGAAGTGAGGGACAGCTGCTGACTGCTGGGAGGATGTGTCCCCTACGTCCAGGACCTTGAGCTTGGTGGGTGGGGCAGACAAAGCCCAGAGCAGGGCCACACTCTGAGCCCTGCAGCCCCAGGGTTGAATCCTCCTGGGGGCATCGAAGCCTAGCTGCTGCTCCCATGAGAAGGAGAACCTCGGAGGAACGGAGACCTGCAAGGAGAAGCTAGGGACTTCAGCAAAAACAATGCATTACTCCTCAATTTTAAAAATACAGTTTTGTTCTTGTTAGCCTCGTCCTAGAGATGCACACACGTTTACCAAAGAGACATCAGGCAGCCCTTAGAACTTCATAAGTAACTTCTAATTTTAGCTACATTTAACATTGCTTTATTAAATATTAATGAGGAAACCATTAGTGTTTTGCCTTTTCAATTTGTTATCTAATGCATAACATGATTCAGTTATCTCAATGTTATTTTTATCTTGACTTCAGGGTGTGATTTGTGTTCTATAACAGGAATATTGCAGTGTTTTAAAAAGCACACCTCTACATAAAATACAATATATGTACATATATAAAAACATTTATTTGAATTTTAAAATAGGGTGCATCCTTTACTGGTAGAACATAGGTCTGGCCAGTCTGTTTGGTTTGACTGTGAAAATCTCTTTTGCTGCTTAGTTTATTGGAATTACCTAAATATTCAAATAACATTGACAAATATGTAGTTAGAGCGTTTTTATAATTAAGTCACATGCTAAGATTTTTCTTTCCAAGTTCCTTCTGAGTGTATTGACTTAAACAAGACACTTCTAAGGGAACAAGTAATGAGTATAATTAGTTAAACACTCTTCATGCAGCCTTTTGATGTGTTTCCCAGAAATTGGGTCTTGAATGACTAATGTCTTGGTTAAATCCTTGTGCATATCTAGTGGTTTCCAAAAGTTTTCTTTTGTGGAAGGATTTGCAGATTAGATTGTCAGCTGATTGCTAAAATTAGTTTCTATTTATTATTCTGGAATTTTGGGCTGATAAGGGAAAAAAGTTCAGAGTTAAGCTTTCCTTTTACAATACATCATTGGTTCTAGCAATATATTTATGTGGA